AGTTAGCAGCAGCGGCTAACGTTCAGACGACACGGAGGTAGCCGCCAGGTTAGCCGCGCAGCTAATCATGGTGAATGTAAAGAAACGGAAAGGTCGGGTGGTGATTGACTCTGACTCCGAAGACAGCGCCAGCGACGACAACTTAGATCAGGTAGGTGCGGTTTTTTGTTTTGTGTCTTAACTTTCGCTCCGAACGGATCTCGTGTTGAGTTGTAAACACTTCTGAGGTGAAGCTAACGTGTGCTAACGGATCGTGTTTTTTTTTTTTTTTGGGGCCCATCTTATTTACAAAACCTCCCTTTTCCACCACCACTATTCCCTAAAGTCAAATACACTGCCAGGGGTTTGTCTGTGTGATGTTTCGAGCAAAGTGGAATCAGATTCTGCACAAAAACGCTGCTTTTATCAGCCTGAGCCCGCTAACTTGTGCTATCGTTAAGGTGACAGAAAGATGCAGTTTTATGTTTCCTCTCGGCCTTTTTGTGTGTTTTTTCCACCGGTTTTAAAGCGTAAACTGACTGACTACCACTGCACTGTTACAGGGGGGTGTGATTATAGATTATTAAGGTGTAAACATGTCTTTTTTTGGGGGGGGGAGTTGCATTTGATTTAACCAGAAGAACCAGTATCTCCTGAATTACGTCATGGGCGCAGAGCTGAGGCGCTATTTCGGTGTTGTTGTTGTTGTTGTTGTTGTTGTTTACAGACCGACGAGCTTTAACACACTGCTTCTGTAACAGTGGTGGAGCATTAAAACCACCCGTGTGCATTGCCTGAGAGAGAGAGTTCACTCTGCAGACGCAGGTAGTAAATAAACACGAGTTAGTTCTGCAAAATCGTCAATATGTTGTTGGTTTCTTTGGGGTTTAAAAGCTGGTCAGGGCTCTACGGTTGTGATTTGAGATCACCCTGATGAAGACAGCTGTGCATATCGTCTCATGTTTGCAGAATTTAATGTTGAGAGGAGTTTTAGGGAGGTAGATGTGTTAACTTTTCCCTGTTTTAATACCTGCAAACATTAATGTCTGGAGCTCGTTTGAAGATTTTCTTTTAGGCAAGGTGAGTCCATAACCGAGTCCGCTCATTGTGATGATGGACCGAAACACTGGATTTATAATGACACAGAAGCTGTTTAGTGTGAATTGGTCACAGCAGTACTGGCGGGGATTTTGTGGCACTGCTCGGGAACGGTGTATGGATTTCAGCTTTTCCACATTCTTAGGAAGGAATTCAGCTATATGCACATTAGTGATGGACGGATTAATCGGCAGAGGTAGTCAGCATTGGTCGTTGTCTGCGTTTAGAAAGCTGACGGACAAAAAAAAGAGCTTTTGTTGTGAGAGTTTTGAGAGTAAAACAGAATATAAACATTACAAGTTCTGCACAAAATCCAAAGACACAAACACCTGCTATCAGATTGTATGTTAAAAAGTGGACGAACAGTCCTTAAACGTAAGCAGCGGCCTCCTTCACTCTATATATGCGTTGCCATATTCATGTCACCTCTGAATGGGGCTTGGAAAATTGGATCCAGTCGCGTCCTCCATGTGTTTTGGGTTTATTTACATCGGCAAGTATGAACGCCGCTGTTCTTCCAGGAGGCATTTTCCTACTGTTTCCACTTTAAGTGATTATAATTTTCACTGCGTGCTCTTAACGAACCGCGTGAAATTTCTGATTCTCATCACTTTGTTCTCGTTTTCAGGAGCTCTTGTCTTTGGCGAAGAGGAAGAAGGTCGATTCGGGGGAGCAGGAAGAGCCTGTTAGCAAACCTGCAGCTTCGACAGACTCCGAGACGTCCGATAGCGACGATGAGGTATGGCAGACACTTATCAAGCACTTTGAACACATTCTCACCAGAAGAATAGACCACGTTTCTCTGTCATTTCCAGCTATTTGATGAGTAAAACTGATGTTTTTCACTCCTTTGTCTAGTGGACTGTGGGAGGCACCAAAGGCAAAAAGAAGGTTAAGCAAGGGAAAGGGTCCGAGAAGAAGAACGCCACAAAGAAGAAGGTCAATAAAGCGACGGCGTCCGGCAGCTCAGATGGAGACAGCTCAGCAGAGAGCTCCGCACCAGAGGAGGGTACGTCGTCAGTGTTTGAGGCTCGAGCTACGACTTCACAGGCACACTTCTTTCTTCCGTGTGTAATCTTAAAGAAACCACAATCACTTCAGTAACCATGTGTGATAAAACAGGAACTTCTTGTGGTAGCTGTACAGATGCCAGATGTCTGTTCTCACACAACAAACTGACAGCCCCGAAGTTAACGGCGTCTGACGTAAAGTGCAGAGCGGGAGTGTCGAACCGTATTCTGAAGTGTAGATTACACGTGTCGTCAGGGCGCCATGTCCACTGGGATTAGGTGACTCACTCATCCCCTTTATCCTAGCTGGCACACAGTGTAGCATCCAAGCTGTTGGTTGTTTGTGTTGTCCTGCTATACGGTGGATCCACATTGTTATGGAAAACCTGGAAAAGTCTTGTGGGAAAAAGTTCTGGTCAACATTTCAGCACCACGATCCAAGATGATAAAGACAAAATGCCTGCATTACATCACACTCTTAAAAAAAACCCGTAGAGAATAACATTTAAATCACCTTTAATTTACTTTATATTGGTGCCTTGTAATATTGGCCATGTGGGGGAAAGCTGTTATTGCCACTTGGTGAAACTGAGGCATTGTAACCAGCAAAAGTAGCCTTCGTTTCTGTTTTAATAGCAGTTCAACATTAATTAATTTCACCCACTTTTTATTATGTATGTCTCCCTGCCAAAAGTTGTACATAAAATCTTTTCAGAGACATGAAAATTGGTGTAGACAGAACAAAAAGGGGAAAAATAAAGGAGTATGGCTCAATGTGGCCAATACTGATCAATTAAAAATTGTCCTGCGATTTTTTTTTCCCCCCAGATGTTTGTGCTAATGAAATCACTTTTTATCTTTTAGGTGAGGTGTCTGATTCAGAGAGCAACAGCTCGTCCTCCAGCTCCGACTCAGACTCCTCTGAAGATGAGGTGTTCAGGGACGGTTACGACGACGACCTGATGGGAGACGCGGAGGACCGAGCTCGGCTGGAGCAGATGACAGAGAAGGAGAGAGAGCAAGAGTTGTTCAACAGAATTGAGAAGAGAGAGGTGCTAAAGAGACGGTGAGCGGTGACGATGCAACAATCGGTGGGATGTACTCGCACAGAAAAGACTTTTCAAATAAATGGGGTGTTTTGTTCTCGTTTCCTCGTCTCTCAACAAAAAAACGTTTACGCACAAGGCAGAGTGTGGCATTATAACATTGCTGAGTGTGCCCGTTTATTTATTCATGTTTGTTTTTCGACAGTTTTGAAATTAAAAAGAAGCTGAAGACGGCAAAGAAGAAGGAGAAAGAGGAGAAGAAAAAGAAACAGGAGGAAGAGCAAGAAAAAAGGAAGCTATCTCAGGTTCAAGACACGCAAGTGGTGAGTTCAGTTTACACAACATTAGATAGATATTGTACGTAATTCTGTGTATTGATGGCATTGTTCTTGCTTTTTCCTTAATGAATGAAGTAGCATTTCACCTTTTCTTTATCCTGCGTGTAACTGTAATAACCGCCCCTCCCTAGGTCATGTCACACAACAAGGAGAGACGATCCAAACGTGACGAAAAACTTGACAAAAAGTCCCAGGCCATGGAAGAACTCAAAGCTGAACGCGAGAAGAAGAAAAACAAAACAGGTCGGTGTCATTTTATCCCTTTTGTGACGCGATTGTTGTGACAGTTCAGTTCCAAATCCCTAATGTTTGATCTCTTCGCTGAGCAGCGGAACTTCTGGCCAAACGTCAGCCCCTGAAGACGAGTGAGGTTTACTCTGACGATGAGGAGGAAGAGGAGGAAGACGACGACAAGTCATCGGTCAAAAGTGACCGGAGTTCACGTTCATCGTCTTACGATGATGACGAGTATGTTTGGTTCTGCTTCTTTTCAAGCAACGCATCCATCACAAGACCGCCCTTTTCAGTAACGTAACGTCTCGACTGTGTTCTGCCAACAGAAAGGAAGAAACTCCACCGAAGTCTCAGCCTGTTTCACTACCAGATGAGCTCAACAGGGTCCGGCTGTCCAGACACAAGCTGGAGCGCTGGTGCCACATGCCCTTCTTTGCTAAGACAGTGACTGGCTGCTTTGTGAGGATAGGGATTGGGAACAGCAGCAGTAAACCAGTTTACAGGGTAAGTGTGATGGTGATAGTGATGATCTAGGACTCTTTATAATGTATAGAGTTAAATACAGGCAGATTGGTGATTTAATGTCCTCCCTTGTCGTTGAAAGGTTGCTGAAATTGTGGATGTGGTCGAGACAGCGAAGGTTTACCAGCTTGGAACAACGCGAACAAACAAGGGATTACAATTAAGGTACATATACATTATACAGATGCTTTATGCATATTAAAGTGGGTAATCAAGAGTCAGTGCTTCTCTTCCATTGCTGCTCGCCATAAATGTGACCTTTTTGATTGCATGTCTTCCTCAGGCATGGTGGTGACACACGGGTGTTCAGGCTTGAGTTTGTATCAAATCAGGAGTTCACAGAAAACGAGTTCATGAAGTGGAAAGAGGCGGTAAGTGTAATATGTCATCTGCAGCATCAGTTACAGTAGGAACAGTAGGAGCCGCCGCAGGAGTAAAGCTTTTTGTTGTTGTTTTCTTCCCAGATGATAGTTGCTGGAATGCAGGTACCAACTCTTGACGAAATCACCAAAAAGGAACAGTCCATCAAAGAAGCTCTAAACTACAAGTTCAATGACAAAGACATAGAGGATGTGAGTCTGTTTCTCTAGATATTCATTCATTTCTTCAGCCTGCAGTGGAACTAAACATTTCTTTGTCTCTACTTGCTGCAGATCGTTAAAGAGAAGGACCGATTCCGAAAAGCCCCACCTAATTATGCTATGAAGAAAACACAGTTACTCAAAGATAAGGTAAAGGAAACCACTGTTTCTGTACCATGTGAAACATTATAGGAGTCATAAAGATCTTTGCAGCCTGTTAAATGTTAAATGTCAAGCCTAAACAGTACATCCACATACATTATCAACAAGTATCCCCAACCAACCAAAGCTGAACATACACACTGACAGCAATCATCATAGATTTGTCCGAGAATGTGTGATGACCTTAAATCTATCCTGAGTTTGTGACTCCTCCTTACTCACTGTTGTTTGTTTTGATTGAAGGCCATGGCAGAGGAGAGTGGAGACGGTGACAAGGTGAAAGTGATCCAGGATGAGCTGAACGAACTCGAGGAAAGGGCAGAAGCGCTTGACAGACAGAGGACCAAGAACATATCTGCCATCAGGTACACACGCTTCACCTGTAAACGGGTTTAAATCTTTCTTTAAAGAAAACGGGAATGCTTCGTACATGGTTTAAGGGTCAAGACAGTTTGTTTCAGTTGGGTACTGAAAAAATCTTTACCTTTTATCAGCAGTGGTAGAAATATACCTGAGCATTGGTTCATGTCATATTTTTAACCCAGTCGTTAATATGATGATTCTTTGTTTCCTAGGTGATAGTATTTTAAGACAGAATTGTAAAATATATATATATTTTTTTTCCTTTATCACTCAGCTACATCAATCAGAGGAACAGAAGTTGGAACATTGTTGAATCTGAGAAAGCTCTTGTGGTAAGTGTCTAACCTCCTGAAACACCTCCACCACACATACAGTATGTTTGTGTCACTCTAATGATTTTAATATAAAGGCAAGGATCATGAAAAATGTGTAAGAATTGATCATTTGTAACGGAATTGTTGATTTGTGTCCACATTGGTGCTTTTATAATTAAATTAAAATTTAAGATGCGATCATGTAAGTGCTGAAAAATTCCTGAAAACATCCAGGTTGCACACCGAAGGGATGTGATACAAGCATACAAACACAACTGTTAACATGTTTGCAAATGGTATATTTTACTACCCAGCAACATCTGGAAATGCTGCCTCACTTCTTCTGTTCTAGCACAATGCTAAACAGTGATTTTCATCCACCTCATGTATAGGAAAAACTATTTGACCTATTGCTTTGACTTTGATTATTAGAAAATGTTTTTTTGATGTTAAAATAACCCAATGTATTTGCTTATTTATTTCCTCACAGGCTGAAGGACAAAATGCCAAAAACCAACAAATGGACCCTTTCACACGAAGACAGTGCAAACCCACCATGGTGTCTAATGTAAGATTTCTATATTTATTTCTTCTAACATTTTTTTTTATGTGCAATCAATGAAGTTTACACTGCTACTACTAATTTTGGTTCTGCAGGCCAGAGACCCGTCAGTCCACGCAGCTATTCTTGCTCACCTGAACCAGAAGTACGGCTCTGGGTCAGCATCAGATCCTTCTGGCGCAGATAAGAACAAACTGGTAAGTAGAGGAAACACTTAAAGACACTCCCAGTGCGACCATATAAAAGATGTTTGGAGAGTGATTGCTGAAATGTTTGCCAATGCCAAAATCCTGGTTGTAATCCTGTTGCAAGCAATTTATCTTGCTAACATGAAACTGCAGGCTGTCGCTCCAGCTGGTACGAGTTTTTGTATTTTTGTCCGCTTTGGAGTCACCACAATTTGATGGGATAAATAAAGTATCTGTCTA